GGTTGATTTAGTAACTTTGAATAAATATACACATTTTCAAATCTAAGACCATTTGGATGGATGATTAATGTTAGTAAACAGTTAGTTTTTCTACAGTTACTAGGTTCACAGAAAACTGTTCTTATATTATCTGGCAGTAGTTCGCCATGTCTTTTTTCTTGTTTTTCTGTCTCCGCTAATCTTGTGAAATTTATAACTTGAAGTTTGAGAGGCGGCTCCTTAAAATCCATGTTGTTTGAAAAAAGAAAGACTAGTGGAAACCTAGTGAACAACATCGTTAATAACTTACCTTTTGAAGTTCATTTACCTGGTTATCAGTACTATGGACCAAGAACTAAATTGAAAAAACGATTAACTTGAATCGGTAATTCTGGAAAAAATCCAGTAAACACTGCTTGTAAAGATCACAATATTGCATATTTTCTAAATAAAGAGAACATTGTAGTGAGAAACGAAGACAATGATATTTTAACTAAAAAGGCTTAGGTTATAGTTAGTGCTAAAGATGGTACTTTTGATGAGAAAGCAGCTGCTTTTGCTGTAGCAAACATGAAAGAAAAAAGTAATGGTATAGGAATCACAATGTCTAAAAAGATAGCAACAGCAGCAATGTGGAAAGAAACAAGGTAAATTTATTAAAGAACGGCAATCTGATAAAAAATGTAAAAAAAGTAAAAAACAAATGACATTATTGAAATAAACTGTAAAACCTGCTACGAAAAATACTCGTATAAAGGGTGTTAAAGAAGCGGTAAAAATGTTCGGAGGCAGGAGGTACATATACCACGTATTTTACCTATTCCAAGCTTTGGGTGGAGTTTTTTTTTAATTCCATTATTTGCCGCTTTGAGCGCCACTCTCGATGGACACTGCTTCAATAGCAAAAGCTGTCAACAGTACTCTGGCCGCTTAAAATGAATTGACAGAGGCTCCTAAATATAATAATACTATTAAAGCAATTGCTATAGGTATAGTTCTTTACTTAAACACACATAATATAGGTTATGGTATATATCTCAAACGGTATATCAATAGGAGAGGTCTAAAAAAAGCTCGAAGTAGATTTAACTAATCGTGCACTGACAGATTAGAAATAAAAAAATATGTTCAATTAATGAAAATTAATAATTTTTCGAGGAGTTTTCATGTGTAATGCTTTGCTAGCTAATGGATTCTCGATGTCAAGAGTCGGATATTGTGAATTTAGATGATAAGAATGGTCCAGATACTATTTGGATAGCCTACAGAAGGAGAGGAGATGAGGTTATATACTTTGATAGTCTTGATGACTTTCAACCGAACATAAATTCATTACTTTATCTTGATGGAGTTGATAGAGTTAAGTATAATTACGATAGATATCAAGAATTCAATACCTAAAATTGCGGTCATCTTTCTCTTCAATTTCTTTTTAATACGTTATTGTATAAAAACACGTATAGCTAAGAATGAAAGTCGTTTGTTCTACGATCATCATGGATAATAGACTGACGTTACTCTCAAGAACATCATTCGTCCTCGAAACAAATTATTTTCTACCAATTGAACTCATACCAAATAAAAACTATGTACTTGGGCGAGTAAGGTTACTGACATTCAACTTGATACCAAACATGGACGTTGGTAGTAATAAATTTTATATTGAAATTCAAGAAGAAATCATTTTACCGACTAGTTATGAGATAGAAGATATATAAAGTTTTTTCAAAGAAATCTTAATAAGAATATATCATTTAGCCTGAAACCAAAGAACAGTACTGTATTGTTATGTCCCAAGCAAGCCAAACATCAGACACTGATATGTTGTCGAAGTAGCAGTTTGCGAGTGACTTTTAGTTTTTCTCACGCAAACGGCTAACTACGCGGTTCCTCGCTTTCAGCAGCTTCGGTACGAATCGACCTCTAGACGGAATGTACATGTAAGTCGACGCCGTTTCCCGCGGAGAATGGAAGTCGCGTATAGCTTTCCATCTAATATGCGCTTTTGACAAAAGCACGTCGCGAAGGCGGGAGAAACAGTTCTTTTCTTTCACGCTTTCGCGAGAATTGCTGAATAGAATAAGCAACGACTCGCGAAGCTGATTAAGCAATTAGTCCATTGGCTGGTGACATTAGTTAATACGCCAGTGGGCGGGTGATCGCGGGGGCTTTATCCTCGATTGCAGGACTCGCGACACTCGGCAACCGGCAGTGAAACGGTAACAAGGTGCGCGAAACGTCGAAATAAAAAGGTGCCGATATCTCTTAAAATCAGTAAGGTTCATCTTAAACCGAAACATTTCTTTTCTTGTAAACGTCGAAGTAAAAGTGTAAATCTAATAAAAGTGTCGATATCTCTTAAAATCTGTAAGTTCAACTTAAACCGAAACTTCCGATAATCTCTCTCGTCTTGTGAAGTGACTGGCTGTGAGCGGTTCTTTAGGCACATTCCATTTCTTGTCAAACGTCGAACTGCAGATCGACAAATCGCAAAGGAAACAACAATCCAAAAGGTAGCGAAGGGTACCCGCTACGACAGGTTCTCCTCTTATTTCTTTTTCTTTCGATAATATTGCCAAGCTTCGCTTACTCTGGTCTGATTTTACAAGTAAATTTAATTAAGTATTTGTAAATTCCGGACGTAACAGTATGTAGTATTATTTAATGCAGTCGCGAAATAAATTTTGAACCGACGGATTCAGTTGAATCGATTATCGGCTTCACTTTATTTAAACTTACCTCAAACAAAATGCATAGTTTTGATTTGCGATGTTCTGATGCTTTGCGTATAGAGTGTAATATTACTACGGATGCTTATGTAAACGAACAAAAGTGCATACTATACATGAATTATTTCCAACCGTACCACTTAGATATAAGATTATAGAAGTACCTTCACACATCATTTAGTTTCCAGTCACCGTGAGAAGCATTGATCATTTACAGATACGTTTAAGAGCTATAATATCATAATGGGTATTGCATACAACAACAAGAATGTTTAAATTGGACGACGGTATATTAATAGACTGAAATATGAGACAGTGATCAGTCAAGAGCGAGCTATCCAAGAGCTCATACCTCGCAAAATTCAGTTCCTAAAAAGTTCCAAATTAAAAGTTATCGAAAATTGTCCTCATAGTGGAAAGTATTTTAGATATTAAGGTGTTGATTATCTTATCATTACAATATTAAAAAATGATTTGAATGCCGTCATAACTACACCTACTAATTTGCAAGAAGTAAATACTTATGAAAAAATTAATATTACTTTGAATAAGATTGAATATACAGGGTGGGCCATTTTAAATGACCCAGTCGATTTTCTCGGAAACTATGGGGGTTAGCGAAAAATAGTTTAGATGAAAGTTGCCCAACTTTGAGGGGGACATATCCCTGTGACCTTGCCTTTTACCTCTAAGGTCATGTTCAAGGTCATTGGAAGATTGGAAGGTCAACTTTGTTTTTTTAAATAGGAACCCCTATTTTTGACCCCGAATTCGGAAAGAGCGGGAAATTCTACGTTCAGATAAGGTAATATATGTGAGATTCGCATGAACCCCAAGGCCATGTACAGGTCATTTTTCCGGCCCGAATAATCTAGGACGCCTAAGGTTAAGCGTAAACTCTTCAAACAAGTTTCTTCAACTTTCAAGGGTACATATCTGTATGACCTTGCCTTTGAACTTTCAGGTTATGTTCAAGGTCATTCCGCCTTCATCTTCGGTTACAGACTAAGCTTCCGTTTTTATGTTTTTCTCATTAAAGAATTATGTAGATATATATTGTCATATTCTTACATCGCCATTCCAAAATTCAGATGATAATCTTAAAGTTATTATTTGTATTTTGTAATTACATAAAATCAGAATGATGTTACTTGTAAATTAAATATTCATTGCAAAAACTTACTAATGCAACATCATACTACAAATGTATGAAAAATTCTTCAACTTAACAAAAACAAAATAACTTCAATTCCTTTACGTTCCAAATTTTGGAAAATCATCAAAAGGAAATTAATCATGAAATTTGAGTAATTTTTCAAATTTTCTATTTCCATCAGTCTTGGAAATTCCGATTGAAATTACGTGATCTTAATTTTGTTTGAGTGACTGAAACCTCTAAAAATGCCTGACTATCAGCCGAATGAGATTATGGATATGTTATTGGTTTTAGGGACTAGTCATAATAATTATCGTGCTGCAGCTAGACTTTACGCTGAACGCTTTCCTCACCGACAACACCCAGATCATAGACAAATAAGTCGCATAACTCAGAGAGCTCGTCGTGGACGTTTGGTTAGGCAACGCAGGCGTCACGTGTATGACGTAAATGATGTACGTGTTCTGGTTGTTCTTGCAATCATTCACCTTGATCCTCATACCAGCAGTCGCCGAATTGAAAGAGGGCATGGTATAGCAAGAAGAACAGTTTTAAGAATTCTCAGAGTCCTAAAATATCATGCTTATCATATTACTTTGGTTCAGGATTTACAACCTGCACATTTCCAACAGCGAATTGCGTTTTGCCAATGAGCCTTACAGATGATACAGAATGATCCAATTTTATTCAACTATGTCCTTTTTTCTGATGAGGCTAAATTCCAAAGTGACGGAGAACTTAACCTTTTAAGGACGGGACTGGTCGATATATCGACCACATCGGATTGTTTCGAGGGTAATATTATATGTCGAATACAGGAAACATAGTGTTATCATTCTAAAAAGCATATTTGACCTTGAAATAGTGAGTTCAAATTTTTTATTCGGTATTTCGACCTGAAAATTGATATACCAACGTAGTTTGATGCTTTGAATACGAAACAAATAGTGTTGCGTTTGATAAAACGCATTTTCATAGTGTTTATTTGAACTATTTATTACTATTAGTTTCTTGGCAGATGAACACTTAGTTATTTTTCCTTGCGGAAGATTTTTTATTAATAATATTCTTATTATTTCATCATTCTCTTTATTGACGAAGTTGTCAAAAAATTACAAGCAATTACTTTTGATAAAATGGCTGATATTGAAGCTTCGGGTAGTGACGAGTTTGAACCTGAAATACAAGATTTGGAGAATGAGGAAATTCATGAAGTTGATTTGGTAGAAAGTGATTATGATGAGACTCAAATTTTTGAAAACGCGTATTTTTATCCATCAATCAAAGATTTTCAAGGTACTTCTGAAATAAATCCTAGCATCTCTATATCGGGGAATAAACCAATCAATTATTTTGAAAACTTTTTTGATTCCCCTCTGATTGAAAGAATAATAGATGAGACGAATCGCTATGAAGGTCAGAATCGTGAAGATCGGCAATCCCATCAGAAAACTTGGTCTCCTCTTACAAAAGATGAATTTGAACGTTTTCTTGGCCTTTCAATTCTAATGGGCCATATTCGAAAAGGTGACTTGAAAGATTATTGGTCTAAAGATCCTCTGCTTTATACTCCAATTTTCGGTCAAATAATGTCTCGTGATAGGTTTCTTGCAATCTTACGCCATTTACATTTTCATGATAATGAAGATACCTCGGAAATCGCTCACCATCCTTTAGTGAAAATAAAACCAATAATAGACCATCTACAATGTAAATTCTCAGCAGCTCTTATTCCAGGCAAAAATTTGTGCATAGATGAAAGCCTAGTATTATGGAAGGGCAGGCTTCGATTCAAGCAGTATATTCCTTTGAAAAGAAATCGGTTTGGCATCAAACTGTTTGAATTAGTAGACTGTGAGACTGGATTCATTTTGGGCTTTGTTGTCTACAATGGCGCTGATACGGATTATCAGAAGTTTGATTTGGGTGTTACTGAGGATATTGTCGCTCACTTCTTACAACCTTATTTTTACAAGGGTCATGTCATATACATAGATAACTGGTATACATCTCCCATATTGGCAGAATTTTTGCATGATCGAGATACAGGCATGTGTGGCACGGTAAAAAGAAATAGGAAAGGAATGCCAAAATTAGAAAATAAATTAGAGCGAGGGGAAATTCAAGTTGCTCATAATAATTTGTGGATGACAATCAGATGGCAAGATAAGCGTAGTGTTTGCATGCTTACAACTGAACCTGAGTTCTGTACCACTGGCAAGAAACACTATCAAACCAATGAGGATATTATAAAACCACGATGCATCCATGAATACAACCAAAATATGGGTGGTGTTGACAATGTAGATAGACAATTGTCTATAACCGAAACAGTTAGAAAAACAACAAAGTGGTATCGCAAGTTATTTTTCCATCTTATTGATCTAAGTTTATCTAATGCTTATTCTTTATATAAAATTAGAAATGAAGGACCAATGCCCTTTCCTTCATTCCGATTATCGGTTGTTAGATCATTATTGAAATTGGATAATACTAATGATAGCATTTCTCGTCTTTTAGCCCTACTACTCGATTAGTTGGTCGTCATTTTCCAAGGTTTGCTACAAGTCGAAGGTGTCACTTGTGTGCTTTACGTAAAATTACTAGTCGAACAAAATACATGTGCTCTGATTGTGATATTCCTTTATGCGTAGCTCCATGTTTTGAAGAATATCACACAAAAGAGACATTATCATAAAGTCAAATATTTAGAGGTGAGATGCAAGAGGACTTACGGAAATAAAGCACCCCAACGTGAGAGGCAAGGGAACTCACGAAAATCAAGCACCCCAACGTGAGAGGCAAGGGGACTCACGAAAATCAAGCACCCCAAAGGGATCAAATTTTCGCCACATCCACGCTGTTGATCCTGGGTCATGCTGAGAGCGAAAACTGATACATTTCTTGTGATAAAAATGCATGTAATGCATACAAAAACGTAGAGATATCATTTTTGGACTAAAATAGTACAAGTAATGAAGATGACTTTGAAATACAATTTTCAAGGTCTCGGATGTCTCCTGAACATTTTCTGATATTTTTTTCGTATTCAGCGCATCCAAATACGTCTAAAAGCACTCCTAACTCGCCGAATCAAAATTTTTATATTCAACTTCGAATTTGACCTTGAAATGCGGTTTTCAAGGTCGAGAATGTCTCCTGAACATTTTTCATGACTTTTTTCGTATTCAGTGCATCCAAATACGTAGAAAAGCATTCCTAACTCGCCAAATTAAATTTTTAACATTGGACTTTACGTTCCAGACGGGACTGGTCGATATATCGACCACCAATTTTGTCAGGCACTCATATTACCTCATTTGAACGTAGAATTTTCCACTCTTTTCGAATCCGCTGTCAAAAATAGGGGTTCCTATTTAAAAAAACAAAGTTGACCTTCAAATGACCTTGAACATGACCTTAGAGGTCAAAGGCAAGGTCACAGGGATATGTCCCCCTCAAAGTTGGGCAACTTTCATCTGAACTATTTTTGGCTAACCCCCACAGTTTCCGAGAAAATCGACTGGGTCATTTAAAATGGCCCACCCTGTATGTAGTAGTAGCCGATAAAGAAAAAATCAAACTGCTTAATCAAATTGGTCGTGATAGAGCAATCACTATGTGTTATCGCACTTGTGAATTATACGAGTATCACAAATTACCTCACACATCAAAACCTTTTTGGAGTGTGAAAACATCAAATCGATTGGAAAAACCTCGCTCCATTATTTTAGCCTTTCAAACTTAACAAAAAAATGAACCGAGCACTAATATAAGCAGATTTGATCACTGTAACATTAGCAATGTATAAAACTATTTCTTAATTTACAATCCTATTCATCGGGAAATCTTAATGTAAATATTGAACAAAATCAGTATGCAGTACATTCAAATATGTATTCTATTTTTCAAAGTTCATATTATGGAAAAGAAAATTAACCATTGCCTAATAAAACAGATTTCATCGAGAAATTACATTTAATCGTGGTAGCTTGTTCGAAACAAAACGAATCTATTAAAAATGCGCCTGTCGACGTACGCCTCGAGCTTAACATAAAAGAAGATTTTCTTCACAACACTGCCGACTGTTGTCTAATTCTACATGATCGAATTATACAGTATAATTCAATGAATGATGATATCAAAAAAATAATTTAAGATTCTACAACTATAAGTTTATATAACACTGTGTAAAAATATAAAACAAAATAAATAGTAATGATGTTATGAAAAAATATCCTGTTTTTAAATTATTTCTGAATAAATATTTTTGAAAATTTAAATAGATTAGCTTTGTTTACTGTTATTCAACCCCACAAAGATCAGTCTCCAGTCCTCAACTAGGCTAGCAGTAGCGCTTTAAAGGCATGGGAAACAGTATTCCCTCTACGAGAGAGCAAGAGCGAAAGAGAGAGAGAGAGAGAGAGAATAGCGCCACCCTTCTATCTCCGCATTAATCTGTCTATAAATTCTACTGTTCAAAAAACTAATTTGTCCTGAAACATATAATTATGCATAGAGCCTAGTTTTTAGGGATAAATTTGTCCTGAAAGATACATGCGCGCCACCAAGCCACGATGAATCAAACGAGAGAGAGAGAGAGAGAGAGAGAGTTATCATGTGTTCGGACCCTATACCAAATATGTAGCTAGTATATATATACACACACTGACTAGTGCCATACAGATACCAGTGTCTGCCCGGGAAACCGCATCCCCTCAGCGAGATATATAGGTATATATACATATAGAGAGCGAGAGAGAGAGAGAGAGATAAGGCACGCACTCCCCATTACCGTGTGCTACCAAGCCACGCTGAATCAGAACGAGAGAGAGCACGTGTTTTCTACCTCTGCGCGCTTTCAAACCATCCGGAGCTATAACTATAGAGAACGCGTTCGTCTCATCACCACGCGTTCGGGTCCTATGCCAAATATGTAGCTAGTATATACACTAAGAACTGTATAAGATACATATACCAGTAGCTCCAATGATAGAGCCGGCCTGTGGACCCATAGAACGCGGATTCGATTCCACGACGCGTCCGTTCATTTCTTGAAAAAATATTGTGGCTCTGCCGAACACACGATGAAGCGTTCTTTCTATATTCATTATTAAGTCAACAATAAAAATAGTAATTACAATGAAATCAATTTGTCTCTAAATTAATTAATTCTACTGATCAAAAATTCAAGACACTCTTCCTTGCTAAAGAAACGGAAACCACGCACGTCATTACACCTGTCTTACCTGATAAATCATGTATTTACCTTACATATATCGCTTCATCTCAGAAACATATACCCTAGTCGTGCGGTGTTTGCTATCTGTTGGTAACTCATAATTTTTGGGCAAAATTACCGAATTTATGTTATCGTGAGCGGCTTTAATCGGTCTCTAAACCGTAAACTAAGATTCGGTGCTACCACTGATACCTGTGTACACGAATCTAGCAGCGCTGTATAGACCTGTCCACCTATGTCGACTTTAATATAAAAAACCTATTCTCTACGACCGTGACTAACGTTGCATTTGATTCATCTGTCGTTTGTTTAGGAAATCTTGAGTTACACTCAGACTCTTCCCTCACCGAAACGGACGGTGCGTCGGTACCAACGATCGAACGTTCACACAAGACATCATCTTCAGTAAACTCAAATTCATTGCATGACCGTGACCCTCGTCGCAGCCCGCTCCAACATGAGCGCAGCGTTTGAGATCGCTGTATCGCAAATTAAATTTCCGATCGATTCATTTTTATTTCCAAAGGCAATGGCCTTATTTCCCGGGCCAACTAACCGCCACGCACTAATTACCTGAACCGACCGTATCCTGCGCATTTATCAAGGGCTATAAGTCGCGTGATTTGGCGTCTCGACACTTCGAACGGACTTCTGCGACTATCTGTATCAAATCACCTTTATTTATCTGTTGTGATCCATTGCTGGTCTTGCTAGGGAAATCCACACCTACGTTACTTTTTGACGAAGTCTCCCTAATATTCGCTGACCGGCGAACGCGATCTTCACACTCTCTTTCTGGTCACTACTCAATTCTACACTTCCTGCACTATCTTCTTCCAAACTCTTATACTCTACAATAATCACACACTTGACTTTAGTATTCTTACATTCCTATCTACTACCCTGACGGAGAGAGGTGGAGTCAAACCGACAGTTTCTGCCTCGTTCTCGCCTTTTTTCTCACCTTGACTCGATTTATCCCCCTAATAGTGCCTTTGCTTCTTGCACAAATCACCTTCTCTACCTGAATGGCGCAAAGAGCGATCGAAGGATCCTACAATAAGGTTTCCCTGCTTTACTTGATTACATGTAGGACACCCTCTAAAAACAAACGTGACGGACCAACATACCTGACATACATCTCAGTAGCTCACGCTCAGTAGCTCAGGGCAATTATTAACATAATGTTTTGATTGTCGACACTTACAGCAGACGGCAAGTAGATCAACCGGAGCTACTGGACATTGCGCCTTTCTATGTTCTACCATGTTGCAATTAAAACAGGGTTCTATATACGGTCTATTTGAATTGTGTAAAGGTGCCACCTTTTAGATCACGCTACGACAGGATTAAGCTATGAGCTACACCTGCAGCCGAAGCTAGCGAAGCCTGCGCGTTCTGCTGAGTAAGCGCGGATTCTTTCGCAGGTCGATTTATCACTGGCAACTGCTGCTTATTGGTCGTAGCTACGGTAATCTCATCTCCCTGATTTTCATCCTTTTTATCTTGCTTTTTCCTCAGCTGTTACGCTTTCTTTTTAGATGGTTCTATCGTTTAAACCTCTTCAACTGCTTGGTTAAGTTCCTCTATTATCTCTACCGATTTCTGCCTACCCTGAAACTTTTTGGCCCTAGTATATGCAGATTCTGGTATCAACGTTGCGTTCTTAGTTGTTCTTTTCCAACGTGCCTTATGATTTTCTAATGACATACCCGACTCTTTAAATTCATTTAAAGTCTTTAAAGGTTTTCGTTTCGAGATATCTCTTATAACTCGAATATAGGTCTTCAACGATTATCGCTAGTAGTCGCCTTACTGAATCTGGTAGGACGAATTGGCGTAAAATCATCTGACATGCCGCGACGTAATCCGCGATGTTCTCGTCTTCGCCTTACATTCTCTGCTGAAATTCACCATAGAGCTGCTCTCTATTTATTCAATAATAAAATTCGATTGATAAACTCTTTCTGAAGTCCTTAAACGTTTTCCGTATGCCGCGATTCATCTCGTGCCACGATTGCGCTTTGTCACAAAACGCTGTACCTATCGCTATTAGTATCTCTCCATCACATAGCATAGGCAGTCGATCAAACTTGACAAAAAACTCAACGTACTCATACTGTTTTTGTCCGAAAAACGAAGAGATCACGGATTGAGCGTACTCACCTCATCCACAGGTATACCGTTGATATACTTTACTCACGGAAAGTTGCGCTCTTTACTCAATCTCTCTATTCTAATTACTCTCTTTTTTGTCGGGAACTCACTTATATTAGTATCGCAACTATTCAAATT